TTTTTAATTTTTAAGCCAATGTATGTTTTGTGTCTATATACAATTTGGAGGGACTCCTCAAGAGAATGTATCAAAAGTTAAATATAAATTGAACATTTGTAGCACAAGAAACAATTAGAACAAATAAAAAATAACTTCAAAATTCAGAAAACAATGTTACGGCATAGTGCTGTTTTTATTAAATGGAAGTGGACTGTGTGCTTGATGAAATGATATCAAGCAGTTTGACTCTGGAACTCTGAAGCCAGATCTTACCAGCAGCTATAGGGGAGGGGGGCAAGAGAAGAGCACCCCCACCTGCATTCTTCGCCAGGGTCCTCACCACTGTGCAGACTAGACCGGAAGTCTCCTGTGCACAGTGCCCTCTCACCCGTGTCTGCAGGCGACTGTCTCTGTGGAAACTCAGGGCACTGCAGTAGCCGTGACTGTCATCGTGGCTTCAGGGAATTCCAAAAGTCTGTGCAAGTTGATTTGCAGATTGGTATGAATTTGCATTTTAGGCACCTCCTGAGGCCTGAGCCAGGGCCGTAACTTTTGAGTGACCTTGGTCTACTTTTAACATACTCCTATCAGTGTGGCTTTGTCTATAAAGTGTTTCTTTAAAAGTGTCTTCTCCCCGCAAATCCGTTCTGAGAATGGTAGTTAGTTAGGCCTAAAGTTTTGGTGATTTCTTGCAAATTAAAAGTGCCTGACTGTTATGACTAAAATAGAGAAAAAAGCGAGAACTATTTGTTACAGGTGATAGGTTCTCCAGAATAAGCCGTCTTCAATGTCTGTTACCCATTGTGCGAACAAGCCACCTTCTTTATAACTCAAAACAGTGTCAATTGATTTCTCTCAGTTTGGCAAATAAGCTCATCATTGGTGGCACCCAGTCTTCCTTTGATTTTTAGAGTAGCCATGTCTCCTAGGAAAGCAGATCACAAAGTGCAAGTGCTTTCCAGACTTTCATTTATTTGCTGATGTACTTTTGGTCAAAGCAAATGATCCAGACAGTTTCCGAGTGAGCAGGAAGGAAGACAGGTGAGAGCTTGACTGGTGAGGCACCAGGGGCCATTACAAAAACACTGTATCTCCAGTCAAGATTACACACTATTTGTGGCTGTTCATCTGTCAGAACCATGGAGCTAAGCTGAGCCTAATATTACTTTAATAGTAAGTAAGTATTTCCCTTCCATGTTTCTTTCATTCTCCCAACCCAACAAAGTGCCCTAGCGCCTTCCTTCCCCCTCTGTTCCTCTGATCCTTCTATTTTTATCTTTAAGGTAAATAATGTTTCAGGAAACCCTCCCATGATATCAGGTTTTTATATTTTCCTTGCGTTACCACAGTTTCCCTCTGCAGCAGTTACAGTGCTCTTAGACTACATGTTCACAAGTCTGTCCAGGTTATTCCTGTTCTCAACCCCATTTTAAGTCATGCTTTCACCTACTCTTACTACCAATCCACATATGTAGAAGATGCTTAATAAGCCCTTGGCAAATCAGTATTTTCCCCAGTAGTTTTTACAGAGCTAATATCCCGTGATTGAGTGGTTGAAGGTCACTCTGCTCTTCGTCTCTGGTCCCAAGTTAGTGGCTGTTCGCATCTGGCTCCATTCTCTTTACTTAGGATTTTATTTGTTATTTTTCCTTTTCCTCTTCCTATCAGCTTTAGTTTTGTTGTTTGTTTTTATGTTTTAAATTTCTAGATTCTATTTTGAGGTTGATACTAAGCAAAAGTAGTTTTTATAACGTCTTCATTGCATAATGACAAGAATTCAAATATTTTGTATTTCTTTACTTTTCTGCTTTTTATACTCTATAAGTAAAATTTTATTCCTCAGTAATGATGATTCTGTTTTATGTGGAGGTGTCATTATCAAAATCAGAACATGCCATTTTTAATTAAATATTTGTTTGGGTCCAGAGTATGGCTAGACTGTAAATACGGGTTTGCAAAAGTATTTCAGATGCTGTGGGAAATCATAGTCTTTTATGGGATAAGAAAAGAGTGTGGAAAGTTAGTCTACTTTGGAGTACCATCTGTGACACAACATAGTGCGCACACAAGACGTTCTGGAGAAACAGAAAGAAGAGCAGGCAGTGATGGCAGCTGGAAAAGCCAACCCCGGACTGACAGTGCTTTGCTGAAGAACAGCAAAAAGGAAAGGCTTCATTTTCCAGGGTACACCTCCCCTCTCTTTGCCTCTTAGAGTTAAAGTTCCGAGGGGAAGGCATTGCCGAGTTACTCAGTACTGAGCTGTCTGGAATGCATATGGTCTGACGGTTCTGGTTCCTTCTTAAACATGGTTGTAGTGCTTATCAGGTTCATAGCCTTCATTGGACTATGAAGAAGTGGATTTCTGTCCAAAAGCACTTGTCCCTAGCACTTGTTTTTCATTAATATCTTCTTGATTGTGAAAGGCGAGTAATAGAGTTGATTAACTTCAATTACCTTAGAGGAGTGAAAGGAATGTTTGTACAAATTTAATTAAGCCACTGTTAATCTAATTTAAGGGACAGTTGGCGGTTTATTTTAGTGCCTGGAATTTATATATTAAATGTTGCATGTTCTTTGTATACTGTAGTTATTGTGAATTAATCAGGAAAGGCTTTATAAATGCTATAATGTGCCATTTTCAAGCATTGAGAGCTTAAATAGCAAATGGACTGGCTAAGTTTATAAGGACAGCAAGTTTTACAAAATATTTCTGAAAATTGCTTAGTTTTTTTGTGGTATTAAACTGTAGAAATTTATAATTGAGTCTTCATTGAATAAGCAGATGTTTTAAATTGTCAATGTTTAAACTTTTGTTTTTACTTTCTTTGTGTTTTCATACACATCCCTACAATGTTCTACATGTTGATATGGGTGTGTTAGGAAGGGAGTTCTGACAATAGAATGGGAAGCAGTTTGTTTTGTTTTTTGTTTGTTTGTTTGATAAGGCTGTTACATTTTGGTAACAGATAAGTAGAAAGATTGTCAGATGTTTTGGTGTCTTGTTTGATTGTGTTTTCTTTTTCTCTTCAGAAATATTTCTGGGCAGCACTACATTAAAGGGCTGTAATCTCTTAAATTTTCACTTGAATACATAGTCTAGTGTTTCTTGACTTTTGCTTTTTTCTCTCTGAGTGGTCTTTGTTGGTCTTTTTCTTTGTTGAAGCATTCTTTGCTGAGGGTCCAAGTGATTCCCAGCCTTCCTAATGCTGCAGCCCTTTAATACAACTCATGCTGTGGTGACCCCCAACCATTAAATTATTTAGTTACTACTTCATAACTGTAATTTTGCTGCTTTTATGAATTGTAATGTAAATATCTGATGTGCAGGTTGGGTTCTATCCAAAGGTGTCATGATCCACAGGTTGAGAATTAGTGTAGCTTCTGGAATTGTCACCCTGTAATTGTGCTTACACAGCAGTATAGGCATGTCTCCACCAGGCCGCCGTCCACTCATCCTGTTCAGTGTATATTTAAACCAGTGTTTCAGTGCACATCTTGTTCATGTTCCTAGGCTGTCTTCATAATTTTTAATAATGCTTCTTAAGGAAATCTCCCAGTTCCTTCCATGAAGCTTAGCTGAAATTTTTTACATTGATCATTGTAACCTAGAATGTCTTTATGAACTTTTGGTCCCTGGTAGTATTCTGATCTTACATCTTGATTTTGACATAATTAAAGCTTTATTTATATAATAATTAAAGGGAATTATTTTACCAGAAGGCAATTCCTAGGTGTAATTAGATGATACCAAAATACTATACCTCCAACTCCAAGTCTTACGGTAGCCTGCTGTTTATACAGTGCCCGTTTTTTTACTGACCTTAGACATCATAATACTTAATCAGATCCTACTTTTGGTTGTTTAGATTGCATATGTTTAAAATCTCATGATTCATGAAATGGAAGGGAGCTGGTTGGGAGAAGAAGATCTTTGGGAGCAGACAGGACAGGACAGGGTTGTGGGAAGTAAACATCAGGTACATTATGTGCCTTACAAAATGTCATAATGAAAGCCATTGTTGTGTATATGCTAATTAAAATTGGAAAATGACTCATGAACTAAGTTACTTTTATATGTACATTAAATAAGTGTTTTCATAGCTAATTTCTTAAATTTTGACTTAGAAATGAGGTTAATGACCTGGAAGCTATAATTGTTATTTTTAGATTTATTAGTGCTGTCTCTGTATGTGAATGCACTTGAGAAATAAATATCTGCCTTCAAAGTTATAACATTAAAAACATAAATCAGGTTAAGTGGGAGTTTGCATTGTTTCGTACCACAGGAAAAGTGGCAAGCAGGTGTCCTGGAGGACCTGCCAACCCAAGGTGTTTCCCTGCAAGTGGGGAGGTAGCTCCTGCTGCCATCGGAGTTCCACCGCATCACATGGGGGTCCAGACAGTTGTTAGTCACGTGGCTTCTGTGCTACCTGTGCAAGTCACTTTAAATCTTTGCCATGGTTTTGCCATTTCTAAAAGAGGGGGTATCCTCTGTCTTGATCTGCTTATTACTAGTACTCCTGAGTCTTACTTTCAGGTTTGATCTAGTTCTTCTGCTACGAAGCAGCAATCGTTTTATAGAACTCAGCTTTCCCTAATAGGGTTGTTCCACTGTTTAAATGACCTTGTCCTCAAAGTGCAGTGTGAGTACGGGCATGTGAAATAGAGGATCTGAAGTTGCATGTTTCCAGTTTCTCACTTGGCAGTTTGTCTGATGCATTGTTTGTGCTGTTTAGTGTTATGTTTCTTGAGTGTAACGAGTAAAGATTACATAGGGTAGTATTTGAAAGCCTGTGTTTCTAGATACATTTTAAGAATCAATAAATATTACCTTTCAATAATTATTGGTATAAGTATGAATTGTAACATCAAAAAAGAAGGGACTTAAGATAGTGAATGTTCATTGTGTCCTGTCCTGGGACACTCGGTTGGGTGGTCCTGGCTTGGTGATTCAGGAGGCAGGGCATCAGCAGGGGCTGTGTTTTGAAGGTAATGGCTGCTTACTTGCTGTCTTGCAGACTATGTCCTCGGCAGTGGTGCAGTTATATGCCGCTGATCGGAACTGTATGTGGTCAAAGAAGTGCAGCGGTGTCGCCTGCCTTGTTAAGGACAATCCTCAGAGATCTTACTTTCTAAGAATATTTGACATTAAGGTAAGTTTTGTTTTCATTTCATTTTAACTTGCACATGGTTAAGCTATCAGCCTTGGTTATAATTTAGTCCACATATTCTGATTGTCTTGCATGTGTTTTTAAATTGATACATTAGAAGGCTGAAGTTTGTTGTAGATACTTAAGTATGGGTATTGGATCCAAGTGGGAATCAAGTTAAAAACGTTATGACACCTCTTGCCTATGACTTTGTTTTCTGTCCTTTAGTCATCTGCTGTCTTACAGTCTTTTTTTTGTTTTAACAGTCTTTAATGTTCAATATGAGACTCTATACATTGCTCCAAAATCCGTATCTACCTGGATAACTGCTTCAGTGTTACACCTTTGAGTGGTGTCTTCAGTATACAGAAAAAAATGTATAGAACATGAGATAATTATCTGTGAACTTTACAAGTTTTGGTTAGGTCAGTCTTCCTTGGGTTTTTTTTTTTTTTTTTTTCTTTTTTGTTTTGTTTGTTTGTGTTTTGGTTTTCAAGGCAGGGTTTCTTTGTGTAGCCCTGGCTGTCCTGGACTTGATCTACAGAACAGGCAGATAGAGATCCACCTGACTCTGCTTCCAGAGTGAGTGCTGGGATTAAAGACATGTGCCACCACCGAATGGCTTTGCTGGGTTTCTTTACGGGTAGTTTCTCCATATCTTTTAAAGTGAAAGATCATACTTTTCTGTAGACACAGTCTTAAAATAAAAGTGAAAAAATTGTGAAGCAAATAATTCATTATTTTTTCATAACTTGTATTACAGACTTACTGAAACATAAGTTGGTCTATTTTATTACTGTTTTTACTATACTTCAAGTATAAATTAAACTTTATTGTAAGTATGTTTGTACAGATAGGGAAAGCTATACATAGGTTCCAGACATGAGTGGCCTGTCTTTACCGATGAAGCAGGAGATCCTAGTCCTGTACTTTACCTTCTCCTTGCCATCATGCAGAGTAGTGCTTCTTAGCTAGGCCTTTCTGTCTTGGACTCTCATCACATACTTTTATTCATCTTGCTCATTATAAATTAGTATTCAGTCCTTTCAGAGAACAACAAATATTTTAGCTTTGCATATGCTGTTACTTATGAAAGTTACTATTTTGCTAAAGGGAACTGTCTTCTGTGCATGTAAAGAATCTTTCTGTTGCTAAGCCTCTATCGTTACCATTTAAATATGACAATAAGTATAATAGGACAAAAAATAAATGTGTAAATAAAACCTGGCATTGAGCATTCACACTGCTGCTGTGAGACAGTTCTCTGGATCCCAGCTTGTTTACTTGTAAAATGGGATAACCATCTGGGGACTGTTATGAAACCAATGCAACTGAGATTTAAGTTACTTTACTTTTCATAAATGCTTCTTAAAATCTTTGCACCCCAGCACACAGCTGAGCGATACGGCATGCTCCTATTACCAACACTGGCTAACTCTGACAGTCATCTTAGAAAAGAAAGAGTATGTGCATAGTTTGGAAGAGACTCTGTAAGTAGATTTATGTTTCTTAACCAACAGTAAGAAGCACAGTTTCAAAACATAATAACTATACAACTACACTAAGATATGTCCAGTGTAGCAGTCATATACTTTCATAACAGTTTTTCATATTTTTCTTTTTTTTTTTACTAAATTGTACTTTATGTACTTGTCAAAGTTCATTAAAGAACTACTGAAATATTTAGTCTTTGTTCTTCAGGGACTAATCATTCACAAAGTAGGACAGCATGTCACATATTAAATCCCAGAGCTCTTAGGCAGTTCTTGTGAACCTCAATGAGATGTCCGCGGTGTTCTGTGCTTTTTCCAATGATGGAAAAAGATTGCCTGCTTTCTTCTCCCTAGCTTTAAGTGGGGCAGAACCTGCAGCTGCTAACCCCAGCACTTTCCTCCATAAGCGTATTTCTTACACTGTAGCTGTGGGCTTGACAGTATTCTGTGGATCTCTTGTCTCTTGCTTAAATTTGATGTGTTTTAATCACCAGTCTTGCTGCCACATGATTGATAGTACTTGTATTAGTGTTTCATTAGGTCACTCTGCAGAAGTCCAGAATTCAGTGATTATTGAGCAGCCCAGAAAAGGTGTATTTGCTTATTGTGCATCTGTAAGTTGAGGGAAAGGACAACAGATACTACTGCAGCGTTTGATGGAACGTAGCCTTTAATTAGCTAGTGGAGCTACACACTGGGGCATCTCACTTGATCAGGGTGATAGTGATAATCTAGTGAGCCCCGTTATGCACTTGATTAAGAGATGTACATGGTAATACTGCCCTATTGAATGAAACCCCCTTATATGCAGGTTTCATTAAGATATGTGATACTTTATTGTCTCATGTATATGATATGTTCTTAAATGTTTCTGTTTATAGAAATGGTTCCTTTAATGAGTTGTTTGCTTTTAGTCCTAGAGGCATTTTTTTTAGTAGATTTTAACCCCCCCCCCTTTTTTTTTTTCTAGGATGGGAAATTACTGTGGGAACAGGAGCTATACAATAACTTTGTATATAATAGTCCTAGAGGATATTTTCATACCTTTGCTGGAGATGTAAGTCCTATTTTTGTTTTGTCTTAATGATAATTCTATTGGCTACTATCTTAGTTACTTTGCTGAGAAGAGACATCTTGACTAAGGCAGCTTATAGGGAGAAGAGTTTATTTGGAGCTCACAGTTTCAGGGCTGAGCGATGGCCATCATGGCAGCAGTCACAACCACAGGCAGGCAAGCCTGGTTCTGGAGCAGTAGTGAAAGCTCACATCTGATCCACACGCCAAAGGCAGAGAGAGCTAGCTGGGAATGACATAGTCTTTTCAAACCTCAGAGCCCGCCCATCCACACTATCACAGCCACACTACTAAACCACACTGTTTGATCCTTCCCGAACAGTTCTGTGAGCTGGGAACCAGGCATTTACACAGAGCTGATGGGGGTGTTTTCATTCCACCCATGCAGTTGCCTTGTCTCTAGCTACGTCCTTTATGAAGCTCTGTTGAAATCAAACAATGATTTTCTTTTCTGAAGATCAAGTATTCAGTTGCTAAGTTTCTGCCATGTAAGCAAGCCTTTCTAACAGTCTTACTTTACTTTTTCTGTGCTTTTTGCCTTAAAGTTACTTAAAACATGACTTTCCTCCTTTTGAAGTGTGCTTCTGTGGATTGTCATTATTTTTGTTATATAAAGCTAAAATTCAGAATTTTGTTATTTGTTCTTTTTGATGGAAATACTTAAGACTTGTCAAGTTGCTCTTAATTTTGCCAATGAAGAAGAAGCAAAAAAGTTCCGAAAAGCAGTTACAGACCTGTTGGGCCGACGACAGCGGAAATCTGGTAAATGCCTCCTTGTTTTCCTTTTCCATTTTATACATAAAATTGTCAGTCAGGTGTGATTCATTGGCTGGTATTTCAGTAACATTTTTCTGCTGATAAAATTCCATGTTCATCGACTCTAAAATTTTTAGTATTAATGGCCATTTTTAAAAGCAAATTTAAGTACTTTTATGTTTGTAAATGAACACTTTTTGTTGAAGTTCCATTCTGTTTTTTAATTGCAAGAAAAGAATGTAATTATTTAGTACTGCCAAATACCCACTGTTCAGATATCCCAGTGTATATTCATTGTCTTCTTTTTTAACTTTTTGTTGATCCTTTGTGAATTTAACGTCATGCACCCCAATCTCACTCATCTCCCCATCCCTCCATATTCCCCTTAAAACCGCCACTAAACAAAAACAAAGAATAAAAAATAAAATGAAACAGAACAAAATCTTGCTGTGGAAACTGTAGTGTGTCACACAGATGCCCTTTTGCCCAAACAGCTGAAAATGTACATTGCAGTGAGTCCATTGGTCTGACTTCTACATTGTCAATACTGGATCCTCACTTTGAACCCCACCCCCCAACAAATTTTAAAAGTAAAAGATAAAGTAAACCAAACTTTTTGCTTTACTATATGTATTAATTAGGGCCTTACTATTGTAGAGTCGAGCAGTTTTTATTTTTTGTTCAGAAAGTATTTAATGTTCTGATAACAAAACCTAACCTCTATGCATCTTATGGTTCAGTATCTTTGTTCTGTTTTGTTTTTGTCTTCCCACCCCCGTACCCCACTGTGTGTGTGTGTGTGTGTGTGTGTGTGTGTGTGTGTGTGTGTGTGTGT